CGTATGGTATAGGAGACACGAATACTCCCGAAACACCAACAAATCACGTATGGTATAGGAGACACAAATACTCCCGAAACACCAACAAATCACTTATGGTATAGGAGACACGAGTACTTCCGAAACACCAACAAATCACATATAGTATAGGAGACATAAATACTCCTAAAACACCAACACATCATGTATAGTATAGGAGACACAAGTACTCCTGAAACGCCAACATATAATGTATAGTATGGGAGACACAAGTACTCCTGAAACACCAACAAATCACATATAGTATATATAGTAGATACAAATACTCCTGAAACATCCACAGATAAAAAAACAACGTCTCTATAAATATAAGTATAAAATTGAAAGAACACATTGTTCTTAAACTCACATTGTACTTTAAGAAAGTGGAAGCTTGCAAATGTTTTATTTATCTTCAGTACCCTGCGGGTCATCGCTAAGATACAACAGTAAAATCCGGGAGTCGATTTCCCGCGGTGGACAGAGCACAAATAGCCTACAACGACCTCTTTATTTTCAACAATAGATTTACGTTTTACGTAACGATTACTTTAATAAATAAATATCTACATATATATATATATATATCACCTTTATTTTTATCAGTTCGTCTCTGCAAAATACGACCTTACCTTGAGATGTGTCTTGAATTGGTAACCGCATAAATGAAGCTATTCCCCCCGGGCGTGGCATCTGAGTCATTGCTGATAAAGGCTTATTAAATTGTTGGGTTTTTCTCTCAGAGAAGTGAAGCATTCGAAAAAGCATCCGCCCATAATTCTTGTCATCTCTATGTAAGCCAGTTATGTGTGTAAGACTGTATTTCTTACACTTAGTAATCTGGGATATAGCTCTCGTTATGGTAAAATACATTTTAAAGAAATGATCTTCTTCTCAAACCTCCCTTGGTGACAAAGACAGTAAATGTGTTTAGGTTTGAATGTCCTGTGTTACTGTTGTCCTTCACATTTATCAGTCATCGTGAAATCTGAAAGCAGCTTGTAAAAATATAAACAGAGGTCTGGTTGAAGGCTAAAAAAAAAACGTCAAAAAATGTTTGCTAATGAGAATTTGTTATTTTTCTCTTTCACTGCAGCATAAGTGACACGTGGAATAACCATCTAGGTCAGAATCTTATAAATTAATGTTCTTATGGTCGGGTTTTAGGTCTATTTTAGACCTTAAGTTAGTGTTGTCATGGTTGGATTTTAGGTCTATTTTAGACCTTAAGTTAATGTTGTCATGGTTGGATTTTAGGTCTATTTTAGACCTGGGATAGTCAGGTACAACGGAAATTTGTTCCTCTCTCTCCTTAACGGTTTATCAATTTATAGTTATTTCATTGTTAATTTGATTTATTATTTGGTCACGGGAAAATGGTAAGTGAATTACTCCTTTTTGGTCATGATTTGTACCCTACTATTCGAGATCCCTTTCCAAGTCATGTAACACTTAGTGTGTGTTTAGGTCACTCGCTTTAGTCGATAAGTCCTACACACCACAAATAGTTCCATTGATAAAATAATAAATAATGTTTAGTTACATTTATAGAAACTCTTTTCACTGGATTAATTCACCAGAAGCATATTACTCATAAATACCGTTATGAATACACTTATAATGATTTAACCTAGTGGTATAATATATTTATTAGCCAGCTGTAAGTGGTCTTTTAGAATACTTATGGTATTTAGGACTACTTTCATTGTGTATGATATATTTATTAACCAGCTGTAAGTGTCCTTTTAGAATACTTATGGTACTTAGGACTACTTTCATTGTGTATGATATATTTATTAACCAGCTGTAAGTGTCCTTTTAGAATACTTAGTGGTACTTAGGACTACTTTCATTGTGTATGATATATTTATTAACCAGCTGTAAGTGTCCTTTTAGAATACTTATGGTACTTAGGACTACTTTCATCATTTATGATATATTTATTAGCTAGCTGTAAGTGTTCGTTTAGAATATATGTGGTACTTTAGGACTACTTTCATCATATATGAGATACCGATCTACAGAGCATAAGAGTTTGTTTATATATATAAGCTTTTCTTCAAGTAATTAAGGGAACTATATAAGGGTATGTCATTCAGCGACTGTATGTTTACGTGATTATGTAAGAACGTTGAGTTTGTGGATCTGAGTTTTCTGTAGGCTGCAGTGACAAGACTGTTTTGTATTGCGTGTAATTTACTTTTTTATTTGTGTGCGTGTAACTTTGATACGTGTAGTATTCTATGACGGGCCTTATATATATATATATATGTGTTGGGTATATTTTAATGACGTTTTGTGCTGTCGTTCCTGTATTTTTCCTGTCGGACTCTTCACATAGTTCTTTCGTCGTCAGAATTTCATTTACGTGCTTAACCCAAATTACTCTTAAGTTACAGCCATAGCAATCCCTAGTTTTAACATGTTAACCAAAAGAATGGTAATCTATCCGCATAACCTAAAGATTATTTGTCTACTCTTAATGAAATAACGGAAGTGACTGTCACAGTTATAACTCTCTCTCAGCTGAAAATGCAAAGATTCTCGTAACTCTACTCAACCACATACATACAGTTTCTTATTACACTAACATACCAGCTGTTCATCTTCATGTAAAGATTCTTATAACTCATGTACACCATACACATACACAGTTTTTATTACGTCAACATACCAGCTGTTCATCTTCATGTAAAGATTATTATAACTTAGGTCCACTATACACATACACAGTTTCTTATTACACTAACATACCAAGCGGGTTATTTTGTTCAGCTCGAATGTAGTTAGCAGGTCGATCGTGAAGCAGTTTTCTAGACTTTTTCTATTCTGTTAGATATGTTATTTACGTACACATATGATTACTTATGCGTTAAAAACCTAAAAAGAGTTCTATCTTCGTTCTAAGCATTTTCTTTCCCAACAAAAAAACTCTGTCAAGGCATAAAACCAGTTGCTTACACAGTCTTCTAAAAGCATTTATATCTACCCAAAAAACCTCCAATCAAATGTCATCTGATAAATTTGTGATTTAATAATTTTATCTATTATCTATCATTAATTTTGAGGTAATAGACTTCAGAGAAGGCAGCTAGTCAACACCACCCACAGCCAGCTCGTTGGCTAGTTTAACAAAATAGTAGAATTCGGCTGTCACTCTTATAACGCGCATACGAACCCAAAGTGAGAAGAGCGTTTTTTTTGTCAGCCGTAACTAGGCACGAACCTTAGATTCACAACACTGGTCTGTTATATCGCTCTGTGACAGAAGCATTTAATTTTTGCGCTTACTTGTTTCATAACGCACCATGATTTTAATACATTATTAGCCAAAATCCTCCGCGTAGTTATCACAGAATAATTCTATTGCTTTAGATTACATACACAATAGTTGAAACATACGTATATTTAAAAACTGCTGTTTCGACTACGTAATGACTACATATTAAGTATTAAATGGTTTTCATAACACTTGAGACTAATTAATTATGCATATGCATCACTTTGTGTATTCCGGACCTCCTATAGTAATAATAAACAGAATATTATTGGTCTAATTAAGTTGTGTTTCAAATATATGTATTCCTATATTTGTGATAGTGCAGTGAACACTTATGTAGATTTAGGGAGCTGTTGGGCGCCCCCAACTGACAATGGACTGTTATAGGAAATAAAAATTTTTGGCCTTGGTACACATTATGTGGTAGACACCCACGCTTTCCTTTTGGTTTTCAATTAGTTCTGGCAGATTTGAATTTTGATATCTCAAGATTTCTCACACGAGTTGCGCAGTCCTTCTGACAAGACCTGTAAACTACTGCGGAGTTGAAGTAATGAAGGTTTATTTTTAACATTTTCATGCTTACCTGGTTTTGATGTTGCAATTCTGCAAATGAACACAAATACAGTAGTATATATATATATATATATACGAAATTACTACTAATAATCATACAAGGCAGTCACTATGTTCTTTGAAAATTAATTATTTTTTACCAAAGTTTCAAACTTACTTGGCTACGTTGAGATGGTGTAGACTGTAGAGCATGAAGATATTTCAGCTTCTACGAACAAGTAAGGATAGCAATGAATTCTACTTTTATAACGGAATTAATTCAGCACATTCAAGTCAAGGATATAAGGGTATAAACTGAATTAATCCGATAGAATCTAGTCAAGGATATAAGGGTATAAACTGAATTAATTCAGCGTATGCAAGTCAAGGATATAAACATATTTAATCCAGCACAATCAAGTCAAGATATAAAGGTAAAAATAGTATAAAAACTACAAGGGCAACAGTAATTTTCTTGTATAATAGTTTTAAAAAAGTTTAGCAAATACTTATTTTTATAAAAATAAAAGTATTTTATTTGAAATTTTATCAAATAATTTTCCAGTAAAACTAAGAAAGTTTTTTTTTCAGGCTTTGGATCATAATACTTGAAGCAAATTTCCAGGTGAATGGAATATTTTCAAAATATAAGGAAGTAAGTGAAAAACCTTGTTTAAACTTTGAACTTGTCTGATATTATCCGCATGTATAATATTTAGCTACACACAAAGTCTAGTTGATTTAATAAAATCTTTTTTTTATAGCTTCCAATATTAAGATATGATATGCTTCTGTGTTAGTTTCGACACAATGGCTTAACTTCAAAATCATTAGCAATGAGTGTAACACATTTTAGCGTAAAGTTTTGTAACCAGTTATCATCAAAGTTAGGATTATCTGAGAAATTCAAGGTGATTGTTAAGACTTTCTGCTTTATTTTGTATATAATATATTTTATAATAATTTATTTAGCTTCTTACATTATTACAGAAATAGTATTTCTGCTTTTAATATATTTTTATGGTGTAAACTCCTTTTACAAGCTGGTGTAGCATGATTATAATTTTATGTGTCATAAGACATTAGAATTAGGCCTATTATATTTTTAAACACTACATTCCTTATCTAGTCCCTTAGGGATTTTCGAGAATTAGTAGATTGTATGATAATAGTATTCCAACCATACTATATTCGTCATATCCATTACTAGTTGTTGTTGTAACAAATAAATAGTGTTCCGAAGACTATTATGTTTGTTGTATCCCAACCGCTCTGAAAATCTTTGGACTGAACGAAACGCGTTGTCGACAATAGTGTTACGTCTCTGGTCGTTCGTTAATTTTCCGTAAATT